GAGCTGCTGGGGGTGGGGGGTTCTTCCTCTATTTCTGACTGTCGGTAGGGCTCTCTGCATTTCTTGTCTGTTGCTCTTTCTTTTCATTATATGCCTAGCAGCAGAGGAAATGCTTCTGTAATTAGTGTTCCAGTTGCTTTCCTATCTTAGGCAGAGATACTCCAGTCATGCTTAGGAACTCAAATACCATGTCTATACTTGAAAATATTGCTCTGACATCTGGTATCAGATGCAGCTGCACCCTAGCTTTGTCTCAGGAATTTACAAGAAAACAGCTGACTTACATATGAGAGCAGAAGCAACAGTTTGACACCCATTGTAAAATTTGCCTGTCTTTGGACCAAGAAACAGCTGTAGCGGAATTCATTGTGCTTCAGAAACCTTCAATTCAGCTTCTCCGGAGTGCTAGATGAGTGAAGATTTACTGTAAGGCCTGTGGTTATACTTTAGCTAGCCCACTCACTACTTGAGTAACCAACATGAGATCAAAGGCTACTTGACTGAGGTCAGAGTGCTGGAGAGAGGCTGAAACACAGAGGTGCAGGTAGGAAAAATGGAGAGTAGAAGAGCTGAAGGAGAGATGAGAGAGAGGTGGTAAAGCCTGTGATAAAGAGAAGAACTACAACTAAATGATGGGGAGGATATTTGGGAAGCAGGAAAGTACGCATAAGAAATAAAGGCAGGGAGATATTTGTTGTGGGGGGGAGGGGGGGCGGTAAATAGTTGATATTTTAACTACCCCACGTGCAAGTGTAGGTGAAGCAATCGCCGCACCAAGCAAAATTGAAATTAAATCCAGATAACGCTTAAAAGCACAAGTGTCCCAGCAGTTTGCAAAGAAAGGAGGGACAATTTACAGGTTGAAGAGATTTAGCAAACCACAGAGGTTGCCTCAGGAGAAAAGGGAGTACCTTTTCAACCATGAGTCAGGCTCTGTTGAGGCTGCCTACTTAACTGCACCAGTATTCCAAAGAAACTTTGAACCTGAAGAGAAGTTGCTGGTTTGGACACAAGTCTCAGTTTAATTCTGTCTGGTGTTTTCTTTAGGAGCAACCAGGGGATGGTTTGGGTATGTATGGGTTACCAAAGTAGGCAGTTAAGTCTGTCAGTGATACAGATTGTTGCTAAAACTTGAGGACATCTTGTTTTCAGTCTTAGTGGAGAGTTGTCCTTTCTTTTAAGAGAGGGATTTGGGAAGAGACAGACTCTTCCTGCAGTGTTAAAGGTAAGAGATGTAGATTCCAGTATGTTATGAGAAGCCTGTCTTCCAGAGTCATGGCAGCCCCCAAAAGAAAGTGGAGCTACCTTCTACAGAAGAAATGAGAGAGGACCTTAGAGAAATAATGGCAACCTAGAACAAAGAACTTGGCTTTCAGATCAAAGACACAGTCATGGGCCAAGGGAAATTTAAAACTGTAGGGAAATAGACCTAGGGCAGTGATTTGTAACTAAAGTGCTAGGGCACTGTGGGGTGCTTGGAGATTTTTTGAAGGGTGCCATGAGACGTGAGGAGATAAGTGCAGGCTCAGGTTTTTCCCTTGCTGGCCACTGTTCTTCCCTCACTTCTGGCTCTTCTGCAAGGTGATAAGCACTGTAATATATGAGCTAGTGTTTTAAACGGGGTGCTGCACAGTTCACAGGAGTCATGGAGAGGTGTTTCAGGTCAAATGAAGGGGTGCTTTGTGTCTAAAAAGGTTGAGAACCACTGACCTAGATTTCCATGGTGCCCTGATGGAAAAATTGTAAAGTAGGATTATTGTTCCTGTACAGTGGTAGAGAAGAACTTTTGTACTGCAGATAAACATCTTATTGGAAACTTTATTCAAAATTATTTCCTAATTAGTCTTTTCTTGTAAAGGATTAAGTATTGCAGCATATGATGCATAGTTGCATCTAAGGGGGTGCGTATACGACATGGAGGTTTACTTCGCCCTAAATGGAAGCCGTGGGTTTTTAAAACCACCGCTTGAATTTAGGGTGAAGTAAACCTCCGTGTCGTGTACACCCATGTATTACCTGCCTCTCCAGCAGAGGGGAGGGCAAGCTGCTGGCAGGCGGAACGATCCTTGGACTGTGGTGGGTTTGCTTCCCTCCACGGCAGCAGCTCACCCCACCCCCCAGGTGGCACCCACCCGCAGGCACCTGGCTTGGGCAGTCTCAGGGTACACCGCAGCTGTGGAGTCAAAGACTGGGTTCCTATGCAGCTCATGCAGGCAAGCAGGTTCCAGGAGGGGTGTGGGGGGAAATCAGGCTCACCGCTGCTTTTTTTTTTTTTTCTTTCGTGGAGCCTGCCTTCCCAGGCTGCTGCCAGACTGCCTGTACGGGCTGCCTGCAGAACCCCTGAGCCACACGAAGCCCGGTGCTTCACTCCGCGGCTGTAGGGCAGCAAACTAAAACTCCTTGGAGGTGTTTTAGTTTCCTGTGCCCCAAAGTCATTTAAGGCTCAATATACTGCCGAATGTGCTACAGTGGCTGGAATTAATGCATGATATGCTGCCGATGCATGCAAACACCAACTCCATTAAAGCAGTGCAAAAGCATTTAACCCGCTTTAAACTGTTGTGCACACATGCACCTTGTTTCATCTACACACACCCAAGGGCATCACTCTCCTCAGAAGTTGTTCTAAAACATTACTTCTATGATAGAAACCTCCTTCTAATTTTCAGTTTAAATTATATTCATGGCCAGTTTATATTAATTTATTCTTGTGCCCTCACAGTCCTTTTAGTTGCTCATTTCTCTGTGTAATGATTACTTCTCTGGAGGGACAGTGTATGTATGGGGAGCAATTATATATTTATTGGATAACATGAATTTATGTTTTCTTGTAATTTAGACAAACATTCTGTTCCTTGAATTGAGGGCAATATAAAATGAAACATATTTCATATTGAATCATTTACTGTGAGCTGATTTTTCCATTAGTTTTGTAGTCTATCCAAGCCTCTTTTTCAAAGTCTCTCAAATTCCAAACACTTTGAAAACTACAGGTTGGTTGATCCACTAGGTGGCATCATTACACCATTTTAGTTTTCTCATTTAGAATATCATTTTTGAGGCAGCTGTAGGAAACATTGCAGTTATAAAACCAGGAAAAATGAATAGATTTGCTAAAAATTTTGAGACCGTTCCATTGTAGAAGCAATATGTGGGTTGTATAATTATAGTTCTTGGCTTTTTAATGCGTTATATCTGTGCATTGCTTATTTATATCTTTGGCTATGTAGCATCTTGTATTGATCCATCCATTAGCTTCAGGTTTTTCTAGGCCTTTAGGTAAATGAAATGTAAAAAGAAATAATCACTTTTAACCTTGCAAAGAATTTGAAATGACTGGTGCTACATAAGCAGTTACTTGATTCTGTTGCTAAGCTTTAAGGCAAAATGCTTACTTTTTTTCCCCTGAGAGGCAATTTCGTTTATAGCAAACATAGAACTTATTTTTCTGGCTTGGATTCAGGGTAAGTCCACATTGCCTCTATGCTGTGCCTGAGACTGCGGGTGTAAAGCACATACCGCCAACATATTCCTGCTCGACACATTATGCCTTGGAAATGAGGCAGTGGAGCTGCCTTAGAATGGCCTCAAGCACATAACAAGAAGCAGTCCTGAGATTGTAACAGCCTGACAGTAGTACTGGGGTGCATTAAAATTGCAAGTGAGGGTGTGGATGTGATGCTTAAGGCAATCCCAGGTGCAGCTATAAGGCAGTGACAAGTCCTTAGGATCATGTTCACAGATTCCATTTGCACTCCTGATTCTTAGTAGACTGGAGATATTTGCTGGTTATTCTGAAGACAATGTTAGGAACCTTACCTGGACCCATAACTGTAATATGTGAGTATCTTATGGTTCCTAACATATTTACCCTCATAACACTCCTCTGAGGTAGAGTGTGCTGCTATTCTTGTATTACAGGCTCAAAACTGAAGCACAGAGAGACTAAAGTGACTTGTAAAAGACCACCGAGAGGTTTGTGGTGGAGCAGGGAACTGAATCCAGGTCTCTAGTGTCCCCTAACTACTGAATCATCTTTCCTCACTAAGGAGGAAATATGTGTGAGCTTTGTTTTGAATCTGCCTGTAGGGTGTCTTTCCTGTGGATTACCAGAATTTCAAAATCATCTGAAGGTCTGTCAAACTCATCTCTTTCACAAATGAGGAATTTCCTTTTTTTACAATTTAAAAAGCAAGGATTAGCATTTAAAAAATCGTTGCTTTTCCCAAAAAGTTTGCTAAACTATTCCCTTAAAAGCTGTCTGATTTTTTTTTTTTCTTTTTCAGAACAGTTTAATTGGGATGATTACTTGAAAGAGACTGGATCAGTAGCTGCTCCTCCACATTGTTTCAGACAGGTACACTAAATTCTTTTATGTAAATGTGGTTGTATGTTCTGTTTATATTTGGAGAGTGTGCATAGTAGGGGACCAATAATTACCCTTCTCTTAAGGTTTCTGGTGACTTTCCGTTATAATGCCCTGTTCTTATGTCTCATATAGTTTTGGTAGATTATAAACATTCAGGATGAATCTTCGCATTTTTGGTCTCTGCCTCAAATCAGCTTTCACAAAAATATTTAATTTGTTTTTGAAGGATGAGGCTATCTAAAAAATAAGACATTTACTAAAATTTAGAAAAGTTTCACTTTCTTTTTAATAGCCTCTGTGGTTTTGAACAAGAATTTAAAATGTTGCCAAGGAGAAGAAAATTGCCTTTTGCTATCCCTATGAAAGTCGTTTGAGTTCTGACTAATATATATGAAGCTCGGAGTTTTCTTGCTTTCACGTTTGTAATAAAACTTATTCATCTAATTTTTCCCCTCATTTTTCTGTACCTCTTAGTTGCTTTGTAGGGCTGTGTGAAGCTTCAGGTGATGATTTGATTCGGAGGAGATTCGGCACTATTTGGTGGCCAGACCTCTGAATCCGAATTGAATCAGGGGACCAATTAAAGGTCTGAATCAATTCAAAACTCTCCAAATCGTCAGAAAAGATTCGGAGAGCTTTGATTTAGACAGTCTCCAGGGCTGCAGCAGGGAGCTGCAGCTGGACTCCGAGCTGGTAGGTACCAGGGGCAGGGGAGAGAGGAGGGAGGGGACCATGGGGGGACCCTTGCCAGCTCCCCCAGCCCCCGCCCCCCCCATGGCTGCCCTGCCTGCTCCAGCTTGGTACTTTAAAAAAAAGCCCTGGTGTTTACCAGGTGCTGCTGGGAGGGGGCGGAATCCCTGCTGCCCCCCAGTGTCCCATGCTGCATGGGTGCTTTGCCCAGGCCAGCTCTGTCCCTTTAAGAAACCCCCCCCCCCCCCCCCACCCGGGGCCCCCCGCGCCCCGGGGGCACCCATGGGGGGCTGGGAGAGCAAGCAGGGGATCCCCATGCAGTGGGGGACAAGAGCCCCCCATGCAGTGGGGGGGCAGCAAGGATTGCCCCCCACCCAGCAGCACCCACTGAGCCAGGGCTTTTTTTCCCCAAAGAGCCGGGAGTTGGGGTGGGCGGGGCAGCCATTGCCGGGCTGGGAGAGCAGGTGGGGGTGGGCCCGGCTGATTCGAAGATTTGGAGATTCTATCTAACAGGACTAGAGGACCAGTGGGGCTAAAAAAAACCCCAACCTAATTTCAGTTCGGAGCTTGATAAGTTCATGAATAGGATTGTGACATGGTTGCCTGTCTTTAAAAGGGGACTGTACTTTATAACCTAGGAG